TTTGATTTTGAGAACTGTGACAAAACATCCATGAAGGCAATCATCAAGCAAGAATAATGCAGAAAATAAGACTGACTGACTCGAGCAAGGACAATATCAAGTGARTGAGGRAAAAATGAGAACTCATAATAGTCTCRGAAAGTACATGTGAACGAGCAYGGTCATCACCTCTCAAGAGTCCTCAATCATCCSTCTGGTCAGTCTCTCTCAATCTCTTTTCACTACTCCTCTTTGGTGTCGAGACWCATGCCCGCGTACAATCTGAGAYTGAGGCTTYGTGACAAAAAGCCACCTGTAGCCAGCAAGCTCTGAACACRACCATCCAMGGCACATGACCCGGTAATYAACCATGRAGCAAAACTCCTCCCACAGTGTGGGCAGCCCGTCCACTGAAAAGAGCCCTCGTCTAAGGTAGCGGTACTCGGTGGGCTTAGTCAGCGCCTCGATGTCGATCACCACCGGAGAGATGTACCTCTTTGCCAAACCRATCACGTCCAGCCAACTCGTGCCATCTGTGAGAAGTGAAGGGACWGGAGGCCTAGGATAATCARTATAAAGCATCGGCCCAAAGCTGCRAATCAACATAGTGYCACTCTCATCGAGCTCCCTCTCTCTCTGCTCAAGGTATTYAGTGGCTGAGATCCAGACWGGATCAAAAAGCTCATGAGTCTCCTTGCCCTTCTTCAGGTAAGGCCTCTGATCGTGGATAGTGCCATCAGCRAAACTGGTCTGGACAATGAAGATTGACAGATCTCCCTGTCTGAAACCAATGGCACTAACATACYGATAATGGAATGCCTCTCTGCATGAGATCCGATTGAGGCTGGYCAGTACTGACTCACTGACCGGAGCAGACTGAACTGTGCTCATGAGTACTCTTGCCCGTACAAACTGACTAGATGATCCCTGAGTGGCTGCCAAACCGACCGCAGGAAAYTGATTGCTGAAAAACTGATTACTAAACKAATAATAACTGATTGCTGAATGCCCGGATAAGGTGAGGTGTTCTTGTTTAGAGGCAAAWCGCTCACAGTTGGCTGCCAACAGTCCTCCKTGCTTCCTCAACAGTACCCACCRAAGTTATGGTGGCACAYAGTCTGCCRTTCTYATCATGCMAGTGGTACGTGTACTCGACTTTTGTATGGTTCCTCMCGAGGGTCARCGCATGTTCCATCATTGTAGTGGTCTGGTGATTGTATTCCTCAACTGCACTCTCCCTYCAGGTCTCTGYAGTGCTCTGATACAGCGAGCAGGAGACCCTAACTGCGTTGTTGCTGTCCATACTCTCGTTGAATTCCTGCTACATCAGTTCACCCAACTTGAGGCGGGTGACTCTTGGCTGATCCAGATATGAAAAGGCTATTAGATAGATTGTTGTTTCAAATAGTTGTTTCACATTACCTTTTCTTGTTGCTGTTCCTGGTTGCTGTTTCTCCGATGACCGTTCTCTGGAAACTGTTCTCAGTTGTCGTTTGCTCGTTGTTTGGTTACCAATTGACTGCTGCTTCTGAGATTGCCGCTCTGAAGGGTTGCTTCCAACCACTGACTGGTTGCTGTTCTGAAAAACTGACTGGTTGTTGTTATGGAAACTGACTGGTTACTGTTCTGGAAATTGGTTGATACTGTTTTGGAAACTGCCTGCTTACTGTTCTGGAAACAAGTTGGTTACTGTTCTGGAAAAAGGTTGATTACTGTTCTGATTGCAGTGTCAAAGTACTGTCCGATTGCTGTCTGATTGTCGCATCTCCGCTAATCAGGAAGCTGATTGATTCGCTGATCATAATGCTGATTCATTATGATTAATTGCTGATTGAGAATCCCAGGTAACTCAGAYATTTGAATGCTGAATYGTAGATGACTGACACTGAAYTKACTTCTCGACTGTCGGATGCTTATYTGCTTGAAGAAGCTTAACTGAATGTGGTTCGTGCACAGTTTGGGTGAGAGTGGTTACATTGAGCTGCCAATTTATTGGTTCGCATGGCATAGTGCGAACGAGATGGGCTGCATTGTTTTGATGAGTGCTCGCAGGCTCAGGTATTTGCTAAATTGCAGTGAACTTGATTCAGGGACCACGGAGCTCATACGAGCTTTGCCCTAGCCTGCTCTACACTCTCCAGTGAGGAGCTGGCACTGTGTAATTTGCCGTCATGCCCATAGAAGTAGACCACGTATTCAATGTACACTTCACCTTTCACCATCTGGACTGCGTACTCGCGTTGAACTTTTCTATGAAGTTTCATGTCTTGGTATGCTTTTTCTTCCCATCCTTCCTGTTTGTCTCTGTCAGACCTGGACTTCACTACCAAGACCTTATCGCCCCTCATAGGGTACCTGATGAGAGATCAAGTCTGACACTGACCAATGGAGGTACCGGTTATAAATACATATATATATATTTTCTCTCCTTTTTTTTTTTTTTTTTTGATTGGTCTGCTGTTCTCACCCTTTTCGCTACCATCCGCCGTTGACTCAGTCTGTGAGCATATTGTTTTAGTTACCACAACAACCGGCACGGAATCAACCCTCCTACAGGCCACAGTAAAGACCTTCACCAGCAAGCTGCTTTTGGATAGCTCAGGTCATAGTGGACCCATCTCTGAGCGGTTGATGATTAGCACGAGGACTGAGCTCTTTTCCGAGTTCTGATGATAGGTAGTTTGAAAGGTCACTCACTGACCGCCATTACCATTGGCTAAGTAATGATCTGGCCTTGAGTATCATTCAGGCTAAGTCCCATGTGGCAGGAGTGCACGAACCACCCCGAGCTTTACACCACTCTAGTTACAGTATATTCCCGGATAGGAGGGTACTCTTGGGGGTTCTGTTAGGACTGATGTCTGGGCCCCTTACCAATCAATCACACAGGGTACCCCAGCCTCAGTTGTACGATTCAAGTTGCACTGTTTATTTAKCACGGCTCGTCACAGGTTCATTGAAAGATCAGGGCACTTGTTCTTGACTACTCTCAGAAGTTATGAGCACAAAGGCATGCGTGTTTTAGCTATGACACTTCTGTCTGTAAGACCAGGCCTGTGCTCTCACATGAGAAGAGGACCCAAAACATAGAATTACTGAGAGTAGCCATGTAGTAGCACAGTCTACCTATGAGAAGTTATACGCCGCTCACTCAACCCGAGCATTTCCGGTTCTCCCACAGCAGGATACTCAGAGCGGTTCTTGACGATGCATGCTTCCGACTATACGTTCTCACGACTCACATATAACACAGCCTCATCCTACATCATCCCTTAAAACAGGAAATAACCCTCTAATCACCATCGAGTAGGAGTTTTGCAAGGAGATAAGAAA